GGACGAGAGGATGGATGAGAGGATGGATGAGAGGAGGGACAGGAGGAGGGACGAGAGGAGGGATGAGAGGAGGGACGAGAGGAGGGACGAGAGGATGGATGAGAGGAGGGACGAGAGGAGGGACGAGAGGAGGGACGAGAGGAGGGACGAGAGGATGGATGAGAGGAGGGACAGGAGGAGGGACGAGAGGAGGGACGAGTGGAGGGACGAGAGGAGGGACGAGAGGAGGGACGAGAGCATGGACGAGAGGAGGGACAGGAGGAGGGACGAGAGGAGGGATAGGAAGAGGGACGGGAGGAGGGATGAGAGGAGGGACAGGAAGAGGGACAGGAGGAGGGACGAGAGGAGGGATGAGAGGAGGGACAGGAAGAGGGATGAGAGGAGGGAAGAGGGACGAGAGGAGGGACGAGAGGAGGGACGAGAGGAGGGACGAGAGGAGGGACGAGAGGAGGGACGAGAGGAGGGATGAGAGGAGGGACAGGAAGAGGGACGAGAGGAGGGATGAGAGGAGGGACAGGAAGAGGGACGAGAGGAGGGACGAGAGGAGGGACGAGAGGAGGGACGGGAGGAGGGACGGGAGGAGGGACGGGAGGAGAGACGGAAAGAGGGTGGGAGGGCGGCGAGGCCCTGAGTCCACACTGAAAACACTGAAAGTTTGACTTTAATTAAATGTATAATGTCAAGAAATGTCACATTACGGTATTAGGTTAGTTGAAAGCAATAATATTGAGTTGAGCCTAATATTTGTTATTTAAACTTAATATTATTGCTTTAACTAACCTCATACAGTTACGGGAAATCTGTTGACATAATAAAGTTTATCTTGTCTTATCTTAAATGTAGTGGAGTAGAAGTATAACATACCATTCAATGGAAATACTCAAGTAAAGTACAAGTGCCTCAAATGTGTACTACAGTATTGAGTAAATGTACTTAGTTACTTCCCACCTCTCCCTGACGGGAAAAAGTGAGAGGGGGGAGGGATGAAACAAGGTGAGGAGTACAGGAAACCCGAGAGGAGGGGAGGACAGAGGAGGGTCTGGCACAGGGCCAGGTTATCTGTGGCAAAAGTCGAGGCCTCTGCCAGCTGGAGACAGCAGCGCTAGGCCAGACGGATGCTGCTGCTGCTGTGTGTGTGTGTGTGTGTGTGTGGTGTGTGTGTGTGGTGTGTGTGTGTGTGTGTGTGTGTGTGTGTGTGCGTGTGTGTGTGTGTGTGTGGTGTGTGTGTGTGTGTGTGTGTGTGTGGTGTGTGTGTGTGTGTGTGTGTGTGTGTGTGTGTGTGTGTGTGTGTGTGTGTGTGTGTGTGTGTGTGTGTGGTGTGTGTGTGTGTGTGTGTGTGTGTGTGTGTGTGTGTGTGTGTGTGTGTGTGTGTGTGTGTGTGTGTGTGTGTGTGTGTGTGTGTGTGTGTGGATGCTTTAGAGCACTGTGGGTGTGTTAAAGCTCCGACAGGGGCCAGATGTATGACCAGTTACTGACTGAGGGAGAGTCTTAAGGCTGGGCCAGTCTCAGTCGCTCCTCCACAGAAGTAAGTGTTTCTGCCAAGTTGCCTGCTCTCCCAACCGTGGAGGAGAGGAGGGAAGCCGCTTAAACACATCTCCCTAAGTCTCCCTCTTTTCCCAGACGATGCTTAAGTGTACCCTCTTTAGGCAGAGCATTACATAACTGTGGAGCCAGCCGAGCCAAGTGGCAACCCAGAGAGAATAAACATATGTGAACCTGTATTTGTCAACATTTAAAACAGTGATGGAAAGCTATTTCATACCATCAAACGCATCTTTCTGTGTCATCTAATCAGCTGTTCAGATTTCCTGCATCTCCCCTCTCTATGGAACATGAGGGGATTCCTTCTTTTTTTAAGGCTTTCCTTTCTCACCACACATCGCAGTTCTCACCAATGAGAAAAGCTCACGTGCACACATTACACACTATCAGTCCACACAGTACCACGTGGGTCTACCAACTACAAGTGATGTCATTTATGATTAGAGCTATAATCAGTTGATTAATGGATCAGAAAATTAGGTTTTAATTTTAAATCCAAGTTATTTTTGGAATCACTCATAAAATTCACTGGGTTCAGAATATCTCCGTCTTTCCTTAGTAACCTACTATGACAGTAATATGGAGCTTTTCGGCTTTGGAATGTTTGCCGGACCAAAGAAGCAAAATAATTTCGGGGCTTTGGGAAGATTTACATTTATCTGACATTTTAAAGTATAAAAAAAAGAAAAACTGAAAATGATCAGCAGATGATTTAATGATAATGAGAATATTTATGAGTTGCGTCCCTATCAATAATATTGGGAATGCTGAAACTGATTCTATAGTATAGGGGCAGGGCCGGTCTTTGGCATAGGTAGGGATGCTCCGATCGATCGGTCACCAAACGAGATCGGCCGATACTCACTCTCTACCGATCGATCGGTGCTCTCTAAACATGCCAATTGCGAGAGCCGATCGCATGACGTAAAATACATGACACTTTTCTCTGTGTGCGGCAAAACAAGCTCGCCAAAATGGCTTCACCGGTCTGGCATTATTTTAAGGTGTCCGAAAAAGAGAGTAAAATAGCGCTATGCAATGTGTGTGAAGCAGAAATCCTGCAGCTCCGCCCGCCGGACCGGTAAGCGGAGCAAAACACACAAGAGTTAGACCTAACACACTTAGCTATTTTATCTACCTCTGGAACAAGCTAAACTAGTTATTATAAATATATGTATTCTTCACTGTCGGGTCACTCATTACTGGATCAGTGAGCTGCATAAGATACTGACAGGCTGTCAGGAGAGGGGGAGGGAGGGGGAGGGAGAGGGAGGGGGAGAGAGGGGGGAGAGAGAGAGGGAGAGAGGAAAAGAGAGCGCTTCCGCTCATTTCTCCCGTGTTATTATCCAAAGTGAATGTAAACTTGAATAATGTACATCATTTGAATGTAATAATTAAGTTGATTGTTGTTTGTGGAAGCTCCAGTGAATGAGCCCCATTAACTGAGTTTTAAACATCACTTTGAATGGAAGATTTAAAGTGATGTTTAAATCTTCCATTTAGGCCCCCACCCCATCGGCGATCGGTATCGGCCCCGAAATTGGTGATCGGAGCATCCCTAGGCATAGGTGACATAGGCGGTCGCCTAGGGCGCCAGATCTGGGGTGGCGCTGCGCTGGTAGTTCTGGGAGGGAAAAAAACATTTTTGACTGTTTGGCTGATCCTAATTTTCAGCCTTGATGTAACAACATTCATAATTAAGTCACAACCTTTTCACCCCGGTTACACTTTTCATTTGCCCTGTACGATGGGTGCTGTAAGTGATGAAAGTGGGGGATGTTGACTTATCAGGCGCCCGCAGCTCACAGCCAAAGTGAGAGCGAGCCTCCGAGCGAGCAAGAGAGAGAGGGCGCGCATCGGTACCGCGGATTGTTGTTGGATTGACTCTTGAGTGTTTAGATAGTTCACTTTAGTCTAAGTTGTCTCAGTGGGACTCAAACGGTTTGGTCACAATTTATGTAAACAAATATTTCCAAGGCACACCTTTATAATGATTAGCATAAATAAAAACAGGTTTGAAATCATTCCAATGTATACTATAGGACAGTAAACCAAAAATATGGTTTAAAACTGGAGATATTAAAAAAATGCATGAATAAATAAATGTTAACTAGGTAAAATAAGATATAAATGAACAACAAAAATAAAATACGTTACATTTATTTGTTATTGGCTATCGTAGGTTATTGGTTATGTTCACATACTTATTTGGTTATTAAAATGTAAACTGATCTTTTTCATATGGGTGTTTAGAGTTGTACCCCCTAGATCTATAGTCTCTAGTAATTCTGCTCAAAGTGCACCAGATTGAAGCATTTTACTTTAAAATGTTAAAACAAATATTTGCGGGGGGTATACCCCCGGACCCCCCTAGAGGATGTGACGTCCACCCCCCAATTAAAACATGTTCATACAATAATGAATACCTTTGAAACCTTCTTTATGTATATAACCAACATGTCAATACGTTTCAGTTTTTGTAGTGTATTGGTCTTTTGTAGAGATTTTTCCTTTATTCTTTATATATTCTTTGTGTATTGCTTGGAGGGGGGGGCACCAAATCATAATCTCGCCTAGGGCACCAAAATGTCTAGGACCGGCCCTGTATAGGGGCCTTACAGTCAGAGATCAGCTGCAGGTGGATGGTTGAAGGATCAGGGATAAAGCCACTGTCAAACAAGAGTCTTTTCTTTTCCACAAGAAAGCACATTTATATTTCTAAAAATAATAATAAATAAAAAACTATCATGAAGTCATCATATATGTGTTCAAAGTTGCATCACACATGACTGACATGGTTTATAATTCATTTATTATAATTCATTTTAACGTGGTGCCTCAGGAAGTGCTCCCTCTAACGGACACAGGCTGTCTTTACAGGAACAGCTCCCCATGAAGAAGTCCTTCCACTCATAGCATTGTAATGTCATCCACACACGCGCATCATGCTAATCACATTGGCCTTCACGTTTAATGGAGCGCTGGCAGCCGGTGTGCAGCTCAGTGAGCCCGAATGCTGCTACAGCCGCACACCGGCAACACGTCCTGAAGCTCCGGAGAGCAAACTGAACATTTGGTGGAATATGTCAACCCTAACACACTGCAACACCATGAAGCCAAAAACATGACACAAAGCACACATGTCCATACAATATTATGTTGGGTAAAACGGCTGTCTTAACTCCAAAAATGTTGAAATATCGTCCCTGCTAAGCTGTGTAAAATCTTTGAACCGTTAACGGTGCTTCCTCATCAGCGGTGCTTCCTCATCACCGGCCCGGCTCCACACAGGTGATGAACACGCATGAACTTCACGACGTAAAGTATGTCATTTTTAACAGCGATATATTCAAAGTTAGCAAACAGACAGGTGTGGGAAAGCAGGTTTAGAGGGAAAAAGGCTGAGTTAAAAGTTGCACAGTAAGCGGTGTGGATGCAAATTCTGCACTTCGACTCACCTTGAGCGGCCGTTCCTCGGGTGCTGAATACACTTGCTATCAAAGTGGCCACATACCAAATCATAGTACTATTGCCGACCAGAAGTAAACCTCATCATATCTCAAAGTGCCCCTTTCGGTGAATTTCTCATCTCCAAGTGTCCCAGGACGAACTGAAGAGGACCGGATGCTGTCTTCTTGTTAACCGAGCCCCGGACACTTTCCCATCGGTGCTTTCCCCTCTCTCTGCCCCTCTCCTCCGCTCTCCTCTCGCATCCTGAGACGGATCACCTGCGCCAATGTGACGAGAGCTGACGAAGCCGCAGTGTAACCAAGCGAGCCCCTTTAACGGAGGCCCCGCCTCCGCATCAGTTTCATTGATGGGCGTAGGAATAGGTCCAAGCGCTGATTGGTCAACAGTGCTGTCTGTTTCAAAGCTGGAGGGTTGCGTTCATTGAATACGGTAATACTCGGAAGTTTCTAAATTCCTTTTAAAGAAACGAATTCAGTGTGCTCATGGCAGCTGGAAAGAAACCCTGCTGTAATAATAATAATATGAATAACAATAATAATTATGATTATAATATCTTAAATTGTTACTAGTAAATACTTGTATAGTGCTATACAATCAAATAGGTAGTGCTATACAATCAAATAGGTAGTTAAAAATACCCTGAATTGTAGTTGTGATGAAAAACGTTGTGATGGTTTAAAAACAGTTCGGATAAATTAGTGTTTGTATTATTAGTATTTATCAAACAAGGACCGTGCCTAAAATACATGAATAACAGACAAGAGATGACTTATGGCGGATATCTATTTATTTATTTATTTATCCATTTAATATCTCTACAGTACATTGTATGTAGGCTACACACATCAACAAGACATTAATCTATATTTACAGATTAACATTTAAATAAATCAAAGGTGTCAGGATCTGACCCCGGGCGCTGTGCAATAGCTGCCCACTGCTAGGATGGGTAAAAAGTAGAGACTACATTTCACTGTGTGCTGTGTGCATGAAGACGAGGGACCAATAAAGAGGGTTTCATCCTCCAATTCTATTCTATTCTATCTATTGACAAGTCGTCAAGTTTCTGACTTTGGTCGAAAAAGATTTGTGGTATCTTCCTGTTTTTCAAGGATGGAATGAATGCAGCACTAGAGGGACTGTTTTAAGGTGGGTTGTAGTGTGAAGCTGTAGCTGAGCTGCGGTATCATCCTGCGCAATTAGAGGAGAGGAATCCTCCAGGCTGTGCATCACCACATCTCTGCCATCCACACACTCACTGTTATAAAGGAGGGCTGCATTAGAGTGCCATCAGAACTGGACTTAAATGTGCTTTATCTTTCTTTGTGACTTCTCCCTTATCCCTCCTGTAGAGTGTAACAAATAAAATAATGTACAACTTTTTTTATTTGTATTGCTGTGTCTGAGTTTGCACTTTACACCTTCTGAATTATTGTAGAAATGTGTCTCAAAAAGTACATAAATGTATGCAAAATAATGTGTTATATGTCTATAACACCTCTGATAATCACCACCGGACAAGTCAGGAATCAACTCTCTAAGATCAACGTGAGGAAGGCAAGGGGACCAGACAACACCAATCCCCGGGTGCTCAAGGCGTGTGCCGACAGTTAGCAGGAACTTTTCAGCACCTCTTCAGTCTCTCTTGGAAGCTGATGAAGGTGCCTGACATCTGGAAGACCTCCTGCATTGTCCCGGTGCCCAAAAAGACACGCCCCAGCACTCCAGGAGACAGGCCTGTAGCTCTGACTTCACACGTCATGAAGACCTTTGAGAGACTGATCCTGCAGCACCTCAAACCCCACGTGTGTGACTCCCTGGACCCTCTACAGTTTACCTATAACATTGGTGTAGAGGACGCCATCCTCTTCATGCTCCACAGAGCCTACACGCAGCTGGAGAAGCCACACAGCTCACTAAGAATACTGTCCTTCGACTTTTCCAGCGCCTTCAACACGATCCAGCCACACCTGCTCGCTGAGAAGCTGTCAGTGATGCAGGTGGATCACAGCCTGGTGGCTTGAATCACAGACTACCTCACCAGCAGACCTCAGTATGTCAGACTGCAGGGCAGCGTGTCTGATGTGCTGCTGAGCAACACCGGAGCCCCCCAAGGAACTGTGCTGTCACCATTCCTGTTGAAGGGCCCTGATGGAGAACTTCGTGTGATAACAATCACCTCCAGCTCAACATCAGCAAGACTAAAGAGCTGGTGGTGGACTTCAGGTGGAGCAGGAAGAGGCCCCCATCACCATCAGGGGGGAGGATGTGGAGGTGGTGAACAGCTACCAGTTCCTGGGAGTGCACTTAAACAATAAACTGGACTGGACAGACAACGCTGATGCTCTCTTCAGGAAGGGACGGAGCAAGCTGTTCTTCCTGAGGAGGCTCAGGTCATTCAACGTGTGCACGAGGCTGCTGCAGATGTTCTATCAGTCTGTGGTGGCCAGTGGGCTCTTCTTTGCCGTGGTGTGCTGGGGTGGAAACACCAACACAAGGGACCCTGCCAGGCTGAACAAGCTTGTGAGAAAGGCTAGCTCTCTGTAGTTGGATTTGGACAATCTGGAGGAGGTGGCAGAGGGGAGGACGAGGAGGAAGCTGGACTTTATCCTAGAGGACCCGTCCATCCCCCTCCATGCTGAGCTAGTGAAGATGAGGAGCACGTTCAGCCACAGACTCATCCCTCCACGACACAGCACCAAGCGCCTCGGCCAGTCATTTGTGCCTGTAGCCATCAGGTTGCACAACAAGGGGTCAACAATGTGACACAAACTGGACATGAAATACACATGGTTTTCACACACACATGTAAATAATATGTACACATGACTAAATATGTATATATGTTCATTTAAATATATTTCTTATTTTATAGTTATTTACAATTTTTTATTTGTATCTTTGATTTGATCCTTAATTGTATTAATCTGTGTGAATCTGTGCTGTCCTGTTTTTCACTCTTACCCTGTTTCTGTTAAACTACTGAATTTCCCCACGAGGATTCATAAAGATCCATTTTATCTTATCAAATATATATACAATACTGTATTACACTACCGCCGCAAAGGAGGTTATGTTTTTCGTTTACAGTAGTTTCTTAGTCTTGGTGGAAGGGAATATCATGGTCCAAGAAAAAACCTTATTCAACTTTGGAACGAATCAAAGGGCGGATACAAAAACTATTTTGTACTCACATCGGGGACATGGTCCTATTATCAGAACATTCTTGTCATCAGTTTTCTATAAAGAAATAGATTACCACAGAATGTCGTAAATAAATCAAGAATTCAACCAAACCATTTTTACATTATAGAGCTTAATTGAATACTCCATTCTCAATGCTCAATGTGGACATTTCAGAGGTTGTTAGGTAATGGATAATGTGCAGCGAGGCGGTCATTGTTCGACAAATTATTACCTTATTTATTGACTTGAAAAGGATCGTATTGCTTCCGCTAATAAACTAAAACTCTGTTCCAAAGTACACCAAAAGCATATCCAACAACAATAACTTATTTTGAATGAAGGCAGCTCTGATTGATGTTTTTTGTGACTGTCCAAGTCTGTTTACAGTTTCTGATCCACTAACAAGTCCTTAAACACTTCTGCTGATTTATCTGACATCCAGCGCTCCGTCTTTTAACGTATTTTCCTTTCTCTCTCTTCATCCTCCTTAACAACGGTCATTATAGTGCTTAACAGCGGTCTGTATACTACTGTCATATTAACCTCTGAAATGTCCGAATTGACCAATCAGAATCGAGTATTCAACTAAGACATATAATAATACTCGCTAACACACCGCTGCTAAGGATAACATGACTGTTGCTAAGGAGGATCAAGGGACCATGATTAGTCATATCAATCCGCTGAAAGAAGTCCGGTCGACTTAACTTCAGCTGTTGACAACAAACATACATTTTCTCCATCAGAAAACAACCTGGAACACTTTTTTAATATTCACTTTTATATTTGTGGAGTGCACGGATTCATGAAGGCTGTTCCCAGAAAAGAAAAGAAAAACAGCTCAAGAGAAGGAAAGAGAAGGAAAGAGGTGCAAAGAGCGGTGGACGTCAGAGAAATCAACAGAAGAAGACAGACAGGAAGTCAAAACTAACAGCATCACAGTCTGGACTCAGTTTCTAGACTGGTTCATGAAAAAATAAAATGACTTGGGCCGTAACACAAAAGTTCACAACAAAACAAATATCTAATTTTAAATTAGCAGAAGCAAAACAACTTGTTTTAAGACAATAAAATAATTGTTAATTCAATTAATATTGTGAATCAAGTGGTTGGTTTATTTAGTTGGACAGTTGCTCATCATCACATGTATTCTCTGGATAGAATAAATATCTCTTTCCAATGCATTAATTGAGCACAATAACGTGTCTTTCGTCGCTAGAGGCATTCATTTTTTTCAACTGCTTTGCTCCATGTACCGCCTTAATGGGCTTTGATGCCACTACTGTGATTGGCCAACTATACTACTATCTTTACTTTGATGCTCCACCTGCCACGTCTCATAAAGTCTGTTAAACCTCAGCTTCTCCTGTCGGCTCTTCTTCAAAAACAGCCAGGAGCTTGACATGTCACGCCCCGGCATGTTAGCATCTCACTCAGAACAGAGACATCGCTGCCTGCAGCTGAAGGCCCTTATCCTGACGCTCAGCAGCCATCCTGCCACTGTGGTGATGGGAGTACATCCATGTCCCTCAGCTAACTGTCACACTGAGGATTGTGCTTTAAAGAGCTGTGTGATGTGCAAATAGCGGGATAGCCTGCTCTTTAAGTTTAGCACAGAGCTTGCCGTTTATCTAGGGCATGGGACATTTCTGTACCAAAATCTACGACACAACTTCATTGAGGCATCTGGGGCCAATGGATTATTCCCCCATGCCTCTACTTCAGATGGCCTTGCTTGGACCACACCCATCTTCGAACTCAGCCTTAATTTAGATTTGAAATACCCATCTGTTAAGTTCTCTGACTGCATCTTTCCCAGTGGCAATGATATCACCACTGACAAAATCTAGGTTTATAAAGAGGATCCTTCCTGGAAGAATTCTACATGTTTATTTTAGCGCGTATAGCTATTTAGTGTTTTGCCAACAGTATTTATAAGTCCATTATGTGACTGACAGGATGCCAGTGTAAAACTAGAGTGATAGATTCCCGATTTTCTTTTGTAAAATCTGCAAAGACAATGTTACATTGGTGAACATGAATGCACGTTACATTTTTCAACCTCCTCC